ATGCTGTTGACCATTGATACCTAAGCAATTTGACAGCCCACTGAGTTGTCCTCACACCCTAGATGGACTTTCAAACTTTGATGTAATCAAAGTGCTTTAAGCAACTTTTTAAATAGTGCCCTTTACATGCTGGGAAACTTCAGAATCCTGAGAACTCACTAGTCCAGTACCAGAGAGAACAGCATCCATATTCCAAGACTTAGTACCTTCAACATTCAACCAATGGAGCATGTCATGTGCACATTTTGTTTCTCTTGTTGATAAACCACCGTGTGGATTTAACCTCCCAAGTCAGAGATATCCTGGACTTTCCACATTTTATTCATGAAGGTTGGGAAGAGTATTTTCTTTGGAAAACAGGTATTGAGAATGCCCTTGTTTATTTCCATTTCCTTATTTCTCTTATATTCCTATTTTAAGTAAATATCCTTTTGTATCACTCAGCCCTCATGTGTATGGAACTCCTGCCAATTGTGATTCAGAAGGCAAATGAGGATCCTGTGAGTACTTTGAATGTTGTCTCTTCTATTATATTGTAAGCTCATTGAAGGCAGGGACTGTCTCTTTTTGTATCCCCAAGAGCTTTGCACAGTACCTGACACATAGTAGATGCTTAATAAATGTTGATTGATTGATTGAATATGGACTTGAACAGGGCTTTGGATACCTGAAGTTAGCATTTAGGAGCTACAATAAGTATTAAAAGCAAGTATTAGAATAGATGTTCTCTAAGGTGTCTTCCAAGCCTAAAGGGTAGCTAGGTGGTACAGCGGATAGCGTGCTGGGCCTGGAGTCAGGAAGACCTGCATTCAAATCTGGTCTTAGACACTTACTAGCTATGTGACTCTTGGCAAGTCATTGGACCTCTGTCTACCTCAACTGTAAAATGGGGATAATAATACCACCATGTTGTTGTGAGGATCAAGTGAAATAATATTTGTGAAGTGGTAAGCACAGTTTGGATTTATGTAAATGCTTGTTCCTCTCCCTCCCTAAGAGGCTATGATTAGGCTACCTAAAAAAAAAACCAAAGCACATTTAGCGAGGAACACCCATCACTGGCATACCTGAAATTTAAGGTTTACAGTTTTAGGCCCTTGAAACAAAAAGTCTGCCCTTCCAACCTTTCCTAGGCTCCTTTCACTGGAGATCACAGGACAAGGTACAGAAGTGCCCCCAAAAATCAAAAGTTCAGCATCTCCTCTACCAGATCTTAAGTGACTGTCATATTCAGATTACTTTATGAGCAAATTTTAGGCATATAACTTCAAAGCTTCTGTGGCTTTTATGAAAAAAACTACCCAAAACAGGTTGCAAAGCTGTAGTTCTGAAGAGGGAAGGAGTTGGCAAATAAAAATATAGTATTTCCAAAGCATAGTGGCTATGTTTCCCAAAATGCCAGATAACATATGCATGCATTTTAGCAAATATTTCCCTGGACCTCTTTTTACTTTTTTTTAAATTATCTTTGAATTTTTTTATTTTTTCCTAATTAATTAAAACAATTTCCCTATTAATTAAATTAAAACAATTTTTAATATTTGGTTTTTTTTATTTTAAGTTCTTAATTCTTTCCTTCCCTCTATTCTTTTCCCCCACCTTGAGAAAGCAAGCAGTTAGATATAGATTACACACGTCTGCACCTCTTTTTAAAATTCCATGTTCTTTGATTTTTTTTTTAAGGCTAAAGACTGATTGAGGAGTTTAGTCCCCCCACTGCCTGTCTCTGACAATTGTTCTTCCTCAAAGGATCCATTTCAAGTCCATCAAACTAGACAGATGAGAAAAGGAAAATACACAGAGAAGCAAAAATCTAAAATACAACCATATGTTTATGAAATGTATTTGTATATAAGTTGCATATGTAATAAGTTGCACATGTAATAAGGCCTCAACTACTAGCAGATGGGGTACATTTATACATGTGGGTGTGCACGCACGTGTGCACAAATAGTAGATGTTCAATTCAAAAAGTAATAACACCTTTCACTTTTCAATTGTTTCAACAGCCTTATCGTGCTTGTAATTTATTAGAATTAATATTATAGCCTAATAATTAGACATTTCACTACAAAGCAAAATTTTATATAAAATATCCATCTTAGACCTTACCCAAGGAAATGTTTAGTTTCCAATTTAATTCAAAAGACATTCCTGTTTCTCAAAAAGTTTAAAGTTCACTACAAACCTGTAGTTTCCAAGGAAGGCTGTGGGTATACATGGTCTTGATGTGTCCATGCCCATGCAATCTTTCCAGAATTATTACATTGATTTTTTCTACCCTCTTTACAATATTCATTAAGTACTCAGATATAAGAAGCTCAGCACCTAAACAATGTGACCATCCCTGCCCCTTGTTCAGAATATAGAAGGATATTTTGTTCTGTTTCTTCTTTCACAGCATGACTAACGTGGAAATATGTCTACATGATTGTATTTATATCTAATTGCTTGCTATCTCAGAAAGGAGGAATGGGAAGGAGGAAAGGAGAAAAAAATTTGAAACCCAAAATCTTATTAAAAATGAATCTTGAAAACTATCTTTACATATAAATGGAAAAAATAAAATGCTATTTACCAAAAAAAAATTTAGTTTTAATTTAAAAAAATAATAGAGAAGAATAGAAGGAAAGACTGGAAAAACACACAGAGGTTTTCTGAAATCCAACCCTGTCGAGTTAGTCCCTGAACTGTCAACTTTGAAGACAGATCCTGGGAGATTTTATTTTGGAGACTCCCCAGTGCCTGAAAAAATGAAAGAATTATTTGAAGAAATAAACTCAACACTAGGTCTAGAATGTAGACCTACATTCTAGAATATAAGATGTGTCCAGAGAATAACACATATTTCACCTCTGCTATCCCCAACTATAAGTTGCTGTATCTGAAACAATCTTAGAGTCTTCATGCATCATCTCTACTACTGGTACATAAGAAGACTAGTAAAATTAGAATGTGTGTGAATGAGGAATCTATAAATAAAGAACAAATGTGGAGCAGGCCACCAATTCAAGATGTCCTCAATTGTCAACTGAGCAGTCAGGATTCTCTACATTCATCCTCCAGAGTGGGTGCTGTCATACAGAAGACTGCCTTCATTTGTTCAATTTAAGCATAAATCACAAGAGATTTCTAGAGCACCACTAACTTTTTAGCAGCTCATAGAAAAAATCATAAGCAAAATGAACTCCTTAAAGACACTTGTCAAGAAGGATTACCTCATTGTGCTTGAAGAGATATTGGAAAAATATAAGGAGAGACTGCCAGAGGTGTAAATTAAGTTGCAGACTACTCACCTAAAGCTATCTATTACCGTGTCAGTTTTGCCTAACATCCATCAAATATATGGGGTACACAGAACTCAGCGAGAAGTGAGTACCAATGATGAGAAGAAGGAAGTTCTCATTAACTTGCCACCTTTCAAGAATTATTTTGAACTGACATTTCTGGGGGCTGGCAATTATTATCAGAGATTTGTGCCAAACTATGTCATCACTGCAAACTTCCTCCAATGACCTCACCTGTGGATATCTTGTTGGAAGCAATTGCAATCGTGATGGCAAAATGACCATAGCATCACAGAATCTGAGCATTGGAGGACATCCCAAAAGCCATCTAGTCCCACTCAAACTTTAGTCCACCATGAAAGTATTAGAAAATGCTAACAGGACCAGGGTCAGGAGACACTTGGGGCCCCTAAAAAAATTCCCTCTGCCCCTGTAATCTGACCAAGAATCATTTCATTTACATTCCCAGTAAGTTGTCAATGTCTATTTGAATATTTCCAATGAGAAGAAACTCAATGTCCCCTGATGCAAATCATTGTACATCTTTATATAACCTTAATTGTTAGGAAGTTTGTTGTTATTCAATAGTTTTTCAGTCAATTTCAACTCTTCTTGACCCCATTTGGGGTTTTCTTGGCAAAGATACAGGAGTGGTTTGCCATTTCCTTCTCCAGCTCATTTTACAGATGAGGAAATTGAGGCAAACAGGATTAAGTGACTTGCCCAGAGTCACACAGCTAGTAAGTGTCTGAGGCCAGATATGAACTCATAAAAATGAGTCTTCCTGAAGTTTGTATATCAGATTTAAGACTACCTCTACGAACTAACTTTTTCCTAGCCCTTTCCTTAGCTTTTCTCTGTGAGAACAATTCTAATCATTCTTCTACATGACTGCCTTCAAGTTGCTGAAGGTAGTTATCAAATCCTGCTCCAATTGTCATGCCCATCTTATCATTTCTAGGCTATCCATAGTTTTTAAGAGGTTTTTTTTTGGGGGGGGCATGTTTTCCAGTCTTTTCACCATCCTGGGTTACCCTCTCATGAACATGCTCCAGCTTGACCATTTCTTTCCTAAAATATAGTAGTCATAACTGAACTCCAGATAATGGCCTGAGTGTATATAACTTTTGTTTTATTGGTTGCCAAGATACACATGAAAAATATTGAGTAAGATTCACAAGGACCTTTACACTGATAAGAAGCTTAATAAGAGAAATAAAATGTAACTTGAGTCACAACCTGGTCACAACTATATTTATGTCCAAATTCACAGTGATTCTGTACTTAGCAAGGTGGTTATGAAATGTTCATGCTTATGCCCCCACTTAAAAGCAAAAATCTCTAACAAGGGGGTGGGGGGTTGAGATGCCAGGTCTGCACTAGGAAAGATCCCTCTCTCCTGTGTGGCTCCCATTATACCATCATGTCACAAACAAAAGAACAGTAGGCATCATAAGGACAGGATTGACCATGGGTTTTCATGAGAAATAATAAAAATCTGCCAAATATAATCTTTGACAGAATAAATTTAAGAAAAACAGAAATGGAAGAAAGACTAGGGTAGGGAAGAATCTGTTCATTGTTCCTCTCTCCATAGACTTGTTTCTCTCAGTGCTTTTATTCCTGGGCCAGCAAGTATCCACAATAAAACACATAGTCACATGGACCTCTCAGCTTGTCCACTCAAATGGAAGTCATGTCTCATGATCTTACCAAAGGGAATTGCAGATGTGGTCACTCCAGTCTCCTGAGATGACTGTCGCATCTCCCTTTTTCTCTCCTTATTCTTCTTGAGAATGCCACATGACTGAAAAATCTCCACCTCCCCTACATTTGAGGGTACATCTCATGTCAGTTTCCTCTCTAAGTCCCAGAAGCCTTTGTGGCCAGCCACAGAGCTTTGCCAGAGATTGGTACAAAAAAGAAGATCCGATATCTGTGGAGACAGAAATAAAATCAGTGAAAGAACAGAAAAAGATTATTTCAGTAGGAAATCTTCATGATAAATTAGTGGATTATCTGATGAGTAAAATGGTGCAAATAAATGTAACAACACCAAGGTGATAGAAAAAAATAGCAAAACAAAATTTTAAAACTGTAAGATTTAAAATTCCTACAAATGAAGATAATAGAGCTAAAGGAAAGAACTCAGTGAGGAAAAATTGAAAAATGTATGAAGAAACAGAGTCTGAGTATTATATTTTAGGAAATCATACAAGAAAAATTTTAATATTGAAAACAGAAGGCAAAATACAAATTGAAAGAATCCATAAGTTACCTTCAAAGAGAAGCCCCAGATTTATTCATCCAGAAATGTTATCGTCAAACTTAAAAGCCTCAGCAGTGAAAAGAGAATTTTATAAGCAGTCAGGAAAAAGCAAACCACATGTCAAAAAGCACCAATTTGAATCTTGCAGAATTTCTTAACAAAGTTGAGAAATAATTGCAAAGACTAAAAAGTGAAATGCCAAAAGAAACTTGGCCTTTACCCCAAAAATTTCCCATCCTGGAAGATTGAGCTTATCCCTTCATAATAAAAGATGTATTTTTAATACAATCAAACACTTCAAAACTTTCCTACAAAAGAATCCATTTCTAGGTAGGGCTTTTGATGGGCAAATAGGCCACAAAGCAGAACCACAACAGAGTAGCCAATAATTTTTTTTTCTATTTAGGGTTGGGTTGTTTTGGGGGCTTGTTTTGTTTTTTTAGGCAATCAGGGTTGGGTGAATCATCCAGGCTTACATAGCTAGTAAGTGTATGAGGCTGGATTTGAACTCAGGTGCTCCTGACTCTAGGACCAGTACTCCATCCACTGTGTCACCTAGATGCCTCCAGGAAGAAAGTAGCTTATAATATAAAACAAGGAATAAAGTGATGATTCACAGTGTTTGCTTATTATAGGGAGCATAAGCCTCTGTCCTTATAAGAAGGACACTGAGAAATTGAAAGAAAAACAGAGAGACAAGCAGAAACAGATGACTTTATGTAGGAAAGGGAAAAGAAAGGGAGAATTTTTACCTCTCAATTTGAGTTCTTCAGACAAAGAATAAGCAAACAAGAAAAAGAGGAAGGGTGGAAGAAAGTTTTTCCCTAAACCATATGGAAGGAGAACAAAGGCAGTGAAGCTTAGAAATGACAGTAAAAGTAGAATTCCTGAATCTATGGATTTGTTTACTTATTTGTTTATATCTTTAGGAGGAAAAGGAAAAGGGGATGGAGTCTTGTATATTTAGAAGCTAGGACTGGTGTAATACTGGTGAAACAAACTTATTGTACCTTATACCAATAAAAAACAATGTATCATGATACGGCAGAGAGAAAATCAAACCATTCAAACAAAAATCAAATCAAAATAACCATGAATATAAGGGAGTGGCAGATTTCTTTAGAAAAAATATGCCTCATGACCCAATAACACTTCTAGGGCTGTATCCCAAAGAGATCACAAAAATGGGAAAAGGACCCAAATGTACAAAAATATTTATAGCATCTTTCTGTGGTGGTAAAGAATTGTAGGGGATGCCCATCGTGGGAATGGCTGAACAAGTTGTGATATATGAATGTAATGGAATACTGTTGTGCTATAAGAAATGATGAATGGGCCAACTTCAGAAAAACCTGGGAAGACTTGTGTGGACTGATGCTGAGTGAAGTGAGCAGAACCAGGAGAACATTGTATACTGTAACAGCCACTTTGTATGATGACTAACTTTGATACACTTAGCTTTTTAAAATTTTTTAAAACAATAAATCTCAAAAAAGTATGAAAGAGGGCATTTTGAAAATTAAAAGAAAATCAATTTAAATTTTAAACTAATCAGCTAAACAAAAAGACTATTTTAAAGACCCACAAAATTGATATGCTGTTAGCTATTTTAATGAGAGCAATTTATCAAAAGAAGGAAATTACAAAGAATGTAGCAAAAATTAAGAAAATTTAACAAACTATTATAACTGGGGTGACAGAAGAACCCTTGATCTACTGGCCTAGAGAAACTTCTTTGGAGCTGGGCATGTGTTTGAGCTCCTAGCTAAGGGATATGAACCTTGCTGGAATTACATAAGGAATTCGAGATTGCTTCCCACTTACTTGGGAGTGGGGGGTAATGAAAATGATTGGTTACTGAATGTGAGAAATGACAAATTTTTGTTGGAGGAACCTCTTTATTCTGCAATCTAGAAGAGCTAGGAAATATCTCTACCTCTTTTTTTTTTGGTTCTTCTTTCTTTGGGATTCTTTTCCAAGGTTTTCTCTCCCTCAGACTTCCAGAAAGGAGAGAGGCACTGGAAGACAACCCCCATCAATGATGGCTTGCCACACAAAACAAAGACATGCTCTTGCTTTCGCAGACCTGAAACTAGACCTCAAGTACCTGACTGCTTTCTGACTTTCTGTTCCCTTCCCTTGAAGACAAAACAGCAAGTAGCATTGTTGAGAAATGAATGTTTCCAGTCTTAATTGTTACCTTTTGAATTCAAGAGCTCTTCCATAAGCTATTTGGGCATCAGGCAACCAAAGTGACATTTCTAAAAGAACATGCCTCCTGGAAGAGATGACCACCACTAGGATCATTCTGTAACCAAAGTACTAAAGAAATCCTAACCTTGGATGCAACATATTAAATAAAACGCAGGCAAAGCAATTACAGCACTATAGCCAAAAATTATTCATTTTGACTGAATGGGATTTATACCAAGAATATAGCTAGCTGTATTTCTGAATGGCAGCTAGATGGTGCAAGTGGATCTCTATCCATAGCTGGGCCTGCAGTCAAGAAGACCTGAGTTCAAATTCAGCCTCAGACATTTATTAGCTATGTGACCCTGAACAAGTCACTCAACCTCCATCTGCCTTAGTTTCCTCTACTGTAAAATGGGGATAATAACCACACCTATCTCACAGGGCTGTTGTGAGGATAAAATGAAATAATATTTATAAAGTGTTTAGCACAGTGCCTGGCACAGAGTAGGTGCTGTATAAATGCATATTCCTTTCCCTTCCCCATAGGATAGTTCAAAATTAGATAAATAATTAACATGATAAATTACACTGAAATCAAAAAAATTTTTAAATAATACCTAATGGAGTTGTTAACTGATCCAACTATCCTGGAGAGCAATTCGGAGCTATGCCCAAAGGGCTATAAAACTATGCATACCCTTTGATCCAGCAATACCATTGCTAGGTCTATATCCCAAAGAGATTTTTTAAAAGGGGGTGGGAGTGGGGAAGAACCTATTTGCACAAAAATATTTGTAGCAGTTCTTTTCGTGGTGGCTAAGAATTGGAAATTGAAGGGATATCCATCAATTGGGGAATGGCTGAACAAGTTGTGGTTTATGACTGTGATGGAATTTTTTTTTTTTGGTGAGGCAATTGGGGTTAAGCGATTTGCCCAGAGTCACACAGCTAGTGAGTGTTATGTATCTGAGGCTGAATTTGAACTCAGACCCAGTGCTCTATCCACTGCGCCACCTAGTGATGGAATATTATTGTGCTGTAAGAAATAATAAGCAGGATGACTTCAGAAAAACCTGTAAAGACTTACATGACATGATACAAAGTGAAGTGATCAGAACCAGGAGAACATTACACACACTAACAGCAATACTATACAATGAAGAACTGTGAATGACTTAGCTATTCTAGTTTTCTCAACAGTTTTTGTCCCAAAAGCTTGAGGCGTTGGGTTTATCAAATGTTAGGTTACTATAGTCGTTTACTACCATACCTAATCTATTCTACTAACCTACCACTCTATTTCTTCGCCAGTACCAGATAATTAGAGATGAACCCTGTACCTTGTTAGAGGGTAAGAGGAATCAGTTATATAATTGTTTTTAAATAGTTCTGATTCTCTTTTGACTTATTAGCTTACGTGTTCAAGTGAGTTGATGTTACAAGTTTGCTACCAGTATTTTAAAATTCTCTATCTAGGGTATTCTATAATTGAGGTTTTCAACAAGAAAGGCAATTTCTCTTGAGTTCAGCCCTACCCACTTGTCTGACCAGGGGCTCTCCTCAGTCCTGGGTAAAATTATTGGGTTTCTTAAATGCAGTGTCTACTGTACTCCAAGCAATAGCTTTCTCAGCAGTTTTCTTTGCTGACTAGGAAGCAAGTTGGACTTCAACCTTCTTGACTTGATGCTTCAATGTAATAGGGGTTGTTTCAGTACATTTTAATAGATCTTTTGCATCAAGTGTATGCCTTGTTTCTTTTCTTTTAAAGGCACTTTGTTTTACCTCTCTTTCCAATTCAGCTAAGACAGCTCATTTTCAAGATTTTCTATCTCAAGTTCAAATCTCTAATTTCTATTTCAGATCTCTTCAATGTTCTCTGAACACCAACGATTTCTGCAGAATTTTGTCATTTTTCTTTAATTATTGATAAACTCGGGCTTTCTACCATCAACTGTTTCATAATACAGATTCTTTGGGCATCAGCTTCCTCTGAACCAAGTAGAAGTTCACTAATAATGGCTAACATTCACATAGGACTTACTGTGTGCCAGACATTGTGATATGCACTTTACAGTTATTGTCTGATTTCATCCTCACAACAATCCTGTGGGGTAAGTGTTATCAAGAAACTGAGGCAGAGGGTATGTGATTTGCCCAGGATCACACAGTTAGTAAATATCTGAGGTCACATTTGAACTCAGGTCTTCCTGACTCCAGGCCTGGTGCTCTATCTCCTGCCCATCTAGTCTACGTTTGTAACAGAAAAAATTCTGCTTCTCAAATTATATCTTTTTAATGGTTTTTAATTAAGAAAAAATTAATTCTTTCTCCATCCTGCCTTCCCCTCCCCATAAAAAAGAAAAAAGGGGGGGAAATGCCCTTTTAACAAATATACATAATCAAGCAAAACAAATCCCTACATTGGCCATGTCCAAAAAATCTACTTCTCAATCTGTACCTGAATCTATCACCTACCTCTCTGTCAGGAAGTTTGATCACAAGTCTTTTATCACAAGTCTTTTAGAATTGTGGTTGGTCATTTCATTAATGCCTTTCAAAGTTTCTTATCTCTAAAGTATTGTTGTTGTCATATCAATCGTTCTGCTCACTTCCTTCTACATCAGTTCATACAAATCTTCCCAGATTTCTCAGAAACCATCTGATTCATCATTTCTCAAGCACAACAACATTCTGTTACATTCACATATGATAACTTCTTCGGTATTTCCTTAGTTGATGGGCTCCCCTTGGTTTCCATTTCTCTGACACCACAAAAAAAGAGCTGCTGTAAGTATTTTTGTAAACATTGGATATTTTTCCCTTTCTTTGGTCACTCCTGAAATGTATTTCTCCTCTTGGAGAAATATCCTAGAATATCATTCTCTTGGA